TTTAAAATTTATTGTCAATTCAGAAAACTTTATGCCGAGCAAATATTTGTGGCTGGGAATGCAAAAGGAACACAATGCCACTGGTTTATTTAAATATTTACTCAGCTGATTATGTGAGCATCTTCCGGATCACTTTTATTATCATAATTAACTGTCAGTGCTCTATATAATGACAGTATTTCCTTTCGTTTATTTGCTATTAATATTCGAACTGTCATAATTATCGTTATTTTCGACAAACTTATCACTACTGAAAATTTTATTACTGAAAACCATCGTTGTTATTATTGTTATTACGGATATTATTCATTTTGATGGTATTTTTTGTGTTGCTTCTGCTATGTACAGAGAATACAGCAGTTACGAGTTACAATATTCGATACATTCATCAACTTCAAACAATCTAAAAGTAAGTTAAAGAATACGATGGAACAATTTTTGTTGATTCGTATTCTATGCCAGGTCATCAGTGCCTAACATCAATGGAGGTAAAACTCAATCTTTACGTTAGATAATCGAAATTTGAACTCTTCATTCATTTAGATTTCATAGTTAGTGGAAGCTTAAGCCGGCAAATAGGCTTCAACTAAGCTTGAGATTTGGTAAATGATTAAGAGGAATGGAGTGGTGCATTTTATTGAATTGACGATAATATCATCGGGGCACTGATGACTCAATGCAAGTGTTGTTCAATGTGTGCATGGCACAACGTCCACTTTTTCAATATCCATATTCAACGTATTTGTCGTGCATCTTTATCTGTCTTTATATTGCGAGATGTTGTATGGAATCGTGGTTTATTTTTCGAATTCATTCTGTTCTGTTTTGTTTCTATACATTTTAGTGGATTCAGAATGTATTTGATGATGTTCTTTCGATCATTTCTCAGCACTTTTCTACGTTTTTTGTCCACTTTTAAATGTGTCTCTCAGATTTTTGCACTACTTCGGATCCCGATGACTAATTGTACTTGTTTCGGATCCGAGTGATTAATATTCTATATTTTTTGGACTTGAGCAACATAAGAATTGATTTGAGCAATTTGGAAATTTTTTGTTAATTGATGGCTTTTTTTCGTTCTTCATGACTCATAGACATACTTTACGTTTGAGCAGAACGGAGAATGGAGTTAGAGTTTATTTAAATTGATTCGCATTTTTTGTTCAGAACTGTCAATGTGTTTGTGTTGATATTTGAGCGAATAAATCGGGTTGTATCAAATTTGAAATAATGCTAGCAAGAGGTGTTTCCTTCAATAAGATGGAGTGTAGTTTAGGGTTTTTGTAACTGCATGATCCGGAAACATTATCACGTAATGAATGCTGAAATGACGATCGCTTATTCTATCAATGATCTCATTCACTGTTTGTGTGGTTTTTGTGTCGTCACTGTAAAATCGATTGTGCACGGTATTTGTGAAGTTAAAAATTAAAATGTTCACTGTTCAGGAGTCTTTTCAACTGGAAAACCCTCTCATCCAACACTCATCCGAAATGGTTATAGCAGAAGCACCCCAGAACGGTTCGTTATCGGATTCAGCAAGTGACGAAACCAGCCGAGATGAAGGGGATTTCGACCACAATCTGTACTCGAGACAATTGTAGGTTGTTTCTGTTTCTATCGTTTATTTTTTTACGAAGTTATGCTTTTCAAGTCGAATTATTTTTACGAGGTCAAGCTTATGAAGAAGGATAAAGGAAAATATTTCAAATGAGAATATTTCGAGAATAATTGAATTTTTTAGAGTTATGGTTTGGACATATTTTACAGATACACTCTTGGTGAATCGGCGATGAAAAACCTTCGAAAGTCCTCAGTGCTAATCTCAGGAATCGGTTCGGTTGGAGTTGAGATTGCAAAGAACCTCATATTGGGTGGTGTTCGTCATGTTACACTTCATGATGTGAACACATGTAAATGGATTGATCTCAGTGCCCAGGTCAGAAAATTCTTCAGTACTTTCCAAGAATGAGTCAAATCAATTCACTGTAATATGGATCAATTTGCATTTTTCTCCAGATATGAATTAGAGTGATTAGAATGATTTTAGTTGATTTAGACAGTTGAGATTTGAATGTGTTTACGTGAAAGTTACATAAGATTTAAATGTTTTGTATGAATATAATATGCCATAAATTTGAAATAATCACAACCAAATTTGTGAAGTGATCTAGCAATGATGTTATGAGTGAAGATACCAGAAATAACAACGATAACAGCGAAATAATATGATGAATTTGCGAGACTATTTATGATTCGNGCTGCGGCAAGTTTCGAACGATTGGCCGAGTTGAACGACAGTGTTACGTGTGCACTACAAACCAAACCTTTGACGGAGGACTTTGTTGGACAGTTTGATGTAATTACTTTATAGTTATTTGATGTTGTCTTTGTTTTTACTAAATCTTAATTCATCTGATTTCACGAATCGTATTTTTCATGTAATGAATGTGATGAGTATGATGAATATCTTTTTTCTAAATATTGTATTGACTGTTGAATTTCTTAATGAATTTCTTTCAGTTAGTTGTATTAACTGATGCGCCACTATCGTTGCAACTACAAGTGAATAGATGGACTCGAGCGCATGGCAAATACTTTTTGAGCGCCGATGCGAGGGGACTATTTGCATATATTTTTACGGATTTGGGCGATAATTTTGTTGTGAATGATAAAAATGGAGAGCAATGCAGAGAAGTTAGTTGTCGTTATTCAAGTATTCTTTTCATGTTAGATTATCGAATTGAGATTGATTGATGTTCAGCAAAACTGTTGAATCATTAGTGTTAAAGAGTTAATTTTATGGCTTTGGTTTATTTGGTTCATTTTTGAGGTGTTCATTGAGCATGTGGATCGTGAGACGGGTGACGTTACAACACTCGAAGGTGCCTTACATGGGTTTGATGATGACACTTATGTGACATTCTCAGAAGTTAAGGGAATGACCGAGCTGAACGGAATCAGACCTGTTAAAGTGACAGTCAAAAGTAAGTTGGTGATCTGTCGAAGTATATGATATGTTGAATAGTCAAAAACATTCTTTCATCCATAAATTGCAGTGACAGTTTACTTACGATGTGATTTGATTGAAGATATTTTACTACAATTTCAACTGTAAAGACAGCAGCTCATTCCTTTATAACTTCTCATGATTTTGATCGAAAAATTGATTTCCAGAAGCCGATGTATTCAACATTGGTACAGTGGCAGCGAATTTTTCCAAGTATTTAGAAGGTGGTCGTGCGTCACAAGTGAAAATGCCTTCACATATGAGATATAAAGATTTGCAAGAGTCACTCAAAGATCCAGACATTCTCATTTGGGATTACGCAAAATTCAATCATCCTAGCCAACTTCATCAGTTGTGGCAAGCGCTCTATGCATTTGAAGAAAAAGTTAGTCTTTAAAAGGATTTTTTTAGTCTCTTGTTGAAAGTTCTGATGTTTATCGTTGCAAAAATTTTTCGCGTTTATGTTTTTAAGATGTTCTCAACTTTTGTTTGAAACGTATTTAGAAACGCAAATGTATCTTCACGATCATTGAAACGATCGAACAAACTGGTATGAAATTCTTACCGTTTGAAATTGATGTGTTTGTTGCCGATTTCAGTTTGGTCGTCATCCTGAACCACGCAACGATGGGGATGTTAATTTACTGAAGACTTACCTGGTTGATGACTCCGCTGATATTGACGAAGACCTTCTGAAGGCTTTCTGCTATCAGGTGGGATTCATATGACTTTATTTTCTTTCGTAATCTCAATTGATTGGACTTCAATGATTTTCTGATGAATCATATGATCAAGTGGTATATGTTAAATATTCCGTAGAATTTTATTAAGTCATGAAAGATTTTTGAGTTAAGGAATTGTGCTGATTTTTGCGAGGAAGAGAGCTATTCTCAATTTTAGGCAGCCGGCAATCTGGTGACCATAGCATCGGTGATTGGTGGTATAGCTGCACAGGAAGCCATGAAAGCTGTGACACATCATATGACACCTCTGAAGCAGTATCTGTATATTGACTGCTTGGAAGCGTTGCCTGGCGATTGGTCACCGTTTAACAGTGCCCTCCTTACACACGAAGACTGTAAACCTGTATGTGACTTGATGAATTGAATACAATTGAGTTCATTTGAAACCAGATATTTTGCGTGGCATGAGGGATAATTATGTGTGATTTTTGCCGTCCGAAATGAGGGATTCATATGGATGGATATGGTATCAGCCAATTAATAGAGTTGTTGTGTTTGTAACGGAACGGGTTTCGTTTCAGCGTTATAATCGTTACGATGGACAAGTTGCAGTGTTTGGACAGGCCTATCAAGAGGCATTGATGCAACAGAAACTGTTCATTGTTGGNTGTGTTTTTATATTCTGTGATTATATTATTACTTTTGAACGTGTGATTATGAAAATTGGAAATGGAGTAAGTAAAGGAGTTGTTGGTTAAGGTGCAATTGGCTGTGAATTGTTGAAGAATTTGGCGATGATGGGAGTGGCGTGTGGTCCAAACGGGAAACTAACGATAACGGATATGGATCAGATCGAAATTAGTAATTTGAATCGACAGTTCCTTTTCCGGAGGTGTAATGTTGGAGTAAGTTATCACGAGCGATTTCGTTTTCTGGAATTTGTTCTGAGATATTTTCGAAAATAAACTTAAACGGTATATGAATTTCAGATATCTTGTTTAGTACATATTGAGAGGTAATGAATGAAAATGTGAAATCGAGTTGATGGATATCATAATTCCAGGGAAAAAAATCTGAGGTGGCAGCGAAAGCTGTGAAAAACTTTAATCCGAATCTGCAAATTGAGGCCTTATCAGAGAAAGTTGGTCCTGAGACGGAGCATATCTTCAATGATAGTTTCTTCGAGAGCCTCAATGGTGTGCTGAACGCATTGGACAATCTTGAAGCAAGTTCGTGTTTTCTATTGAATATCGAATATGAATCGGGAAAAATAATCAAGAAATGAAAAGTTTTCAGAATATTGTGATTATTTTGAGGAGGGCATCAGTTTTAAAAGAAATGCTGCTGGAATATTACCTGTTTTTGTTGATTTGAAAGTTGGAAAGTCGCACTAATTTAAGGGCGATACATGGATCGGCGTTGTGTTTATTATCGATTACCGTTGTTGGAATCTGGTACAATGGGATCGAAAGGGAACACTCAAGTTATCTATCCGTATCTCACTGAATCGTACGGGTAAGTGCGTGGTCATTTAAAAGTTTATAAGATGACTTAGAATCTCTTTCGGGAAATCCTTACGAAATAATCGTTGATACTTTAGAAGTAGGAATTGTTCTGGATAATAAGGATCGTGATATCGTTTTGATTGATTTGATTTTTGTTTTGGTTTTTCAGTTAGTGAGAATTTGACGTTTTTGAATTGGCTCATTTTAGATCGTCAAGTGATCCACCGGAAAAAGATTTTCCGCAGTGTACGGTCAAGAATTTCCCCAACGATATTCCACATACGATTCAGTGGGCTCGGGAGTTGTTCGAAGGTCTCTTCTCGAATCCGTCCGAAACCGTTAATCAATTTCTATCGGATCGACGCTCTTTCTTCGATCGACTCGAGCAAATGAATATTGGGCAAAGGGTAAGAGTTGGTGATTGTTATCATTAAAGGGAGTGGTACTTATCAAAGATGTGAGAATTTTTTATTTGAGAGAGTGAAACTGAATTTCGATATTAAGTGTTACCCTTCGATGCGGTATGATTAGCAGTGTGATTTGAATGTGTACTTGGATGTAGGCGTATTCTTTATTTTACAGAGCATGAGCGATCTTGACATGGCTTATTGGAAACGTGTTTAATTATCTTTGGATTTACGTTAACTTGTTAAATGTTACTCGCATTTGTTGCTAATCGAATGTTTTTTTTTGTTTGTAATATTTTAATTGTTTCGTGATGATATGATATTAGAAATGATATTATTTTTGGATTGAATATTACAGATTCAGTTACTAAGTGAAGTAAAACGAGCATTAATAGATGAAAAACCTGAAAGTGCAAAGGATTGCATAGTGTGGGCACGACATCTCTTTCAAGTGAGTGAATAATTTGTCGATTGATTGTCAAACTCTGCAGTTTTTTCCGTTTTGGTGAATGCTCATTCAGCTGTTCTATTTTGAGCAATTTTATTCATTTGTATAAAGGCAAGGGAGCTTATTTGCAAGAATTGATTTGCTTCTCAATTGATTTAGTGTTGTTTAGGAACGTTAATGATATTATTTCGTCATTTATATTTGATGGTAGTCTTCAGTGATGTGTTCAAGTTTTGAGGGTTTATTTCATTGATGGAATAATCTGTAGTTTGTAAGGGAATTTTGCTGAGTTCTGAATTGATATTGGCCATTTCAGACACATTATCATAATGATATCGCCCAATTGCTCTACCTTTTCCCAGCCGACAAGCAGTTGGACTCTGGAACGAGATTTTGGTCACCACCAAAGAGATGTCCTCATTTGTTGAGCTTCGATGCCAATAAAGTAAGCTGGCAGTTTATTGTTGGTTGAGTATTGAAATTGATTATGTTGTATTCGAACTGTGCAAATTAGGTCATTAATCATGGATGTTTGTTTTGTGTTTACGGATTGTGTTCAGGAGGAGCATTTCAATTTTGTTTGGGCTGCGTCCATTTTACATGCACAACAGTACAATATTGAGCCGATTTTGGATCAGGACAAGTTTTTGGAAATCATTGAGAAGGTAAGTAATATTTTTGTATGGTTTTTGCTCGTTCGTTTACTCGTCTTTGCTACAATTTATTCATCTTGTACAGGCATAATTCTTCTCTTTTATTTTAAATGATTGAAAATTCTGAAGGTGACTGTGGAACCATTCAAGCCGAGGGATGGCATCCGTATTGCTACGAGCGAAGCGGAAGCATCAGAGACTGGGCAAAACAACGGACTTGATGGTGAGTTATATTGTATTCCCAGTAATAGTTTCCAGTGAAAAAAGTTTTGAGGGATATATGCAACAACAAGATCATGCTATCTGTTTTACTCAAAATGAATTTGATTTGGGGATTCGTTTTTACATTTTGATTCATTTGTATTTTGCGAATAAATATGTATCATTACAGATGATTCGGATGTGCAAATCGCTCAGCTCAAACAAGAACTGAACGAAATGCCGACCAATTCGATACGCCCACTAACGGCGATTGATTTTGAAAAAGACGATGATACGAATCACCATATTGAGTTCATAACGGCTGCATCGAATCTGAGGGCTGAGAACTACGACATTCCCCAGGCTGATCGAATGAAGGTTTATATTCAAGTTGTTTGTTCACTTTCAAGTCGATACCACTCTAAAAGACTGCATTTAAGACCTGCAGCTTCTTTGATATATCCCTGTTTGTACTGAATGGTCATGGGTAATCTTTGTTTTGGTAACCGATTATAATTGGCTGGTCTAGAAGGATCACTTATGCTCATGAAGTTTTTGGTACTGCCGATAGTTTTCGAATCTGGAAGTCGGAAGTGAAACGATTTTATTCCAGACGAAACAAATTGCTGGTCGTATAATTCCCGCAATAGCCACCACGACAGCAGCCGTAGCAGGCTTGGTCACAGTTGAATTTTATAAAATGATTGGTGAAGGGGACTCGAGCACATTGCCTCGAACGCCTTTAGATCGTTTCAAGAATAGTTTCTTGAATCTGGCTTTGCCGTTCTTTGGATTGTCCGAACCGATTGCAGCAGCGAAGAAAAAAGTAATTTACTTGTTATATCGTCGTTGTCTTCATTTGATTTGTGTTTGCTTTCATTCATATTTGGAAAGAGTTAAAAGTAATGAGAAAGTTACCTTTGATGTTACGACCCCAGGATGCACAGTGTGGTATTATAGTGCGCATTCTAAAGTCGTAACGTCGAAAGTAATTTTCTCATTTCTTTTAACTTTTTCAATTGGACCTCAAAATGTGTGTATCGTCAATCCTTTATGATTATATTCATCATCCATATTTGGTTTGTGATTAATCACGTGCAATATGCACTTTTCGCAATTATCAATAGTTTAGTGTTTTGTTCCGTTAGTTTTCTAATGTGAACGAATGGACGAAATTTGTTGTGAATTATTTTTATGAGATTATTATAGTTAGCGATTCGAGTTCATAGAATTTTTTGTTTTCAGTACAATGGTCGACAGTTTACATTGTGGGATAGTCTTGAGATACGAGGGCCAAAAACACTGCAAGAGGTGGTCGACTGGATTCAGGTTTGTTATTCATTCACTTCTTGTTCTCTTTAGTTGGGTTTTGCAATTTCGGCTCTTAAAATCCCAATTGTCTGAAGTTTTATGTTTTATTTCAGAACGAAACGAAACTGGAGATTTCGATGTTGTCTTGTGGTGTATCATTGATATATAGTTTCTTTATGAATCCGAAGAAGCGAGAGGAACGTCTTCAACAAGAGTGCGTTTTATTATTGGATTTTTATCGCAACATTACTTTATTAGTTTCGTTTGATAACTTTAATAGTGTTTGTGTGAGAGAAATGCGTACGAGTGATACTGATGTAATGTCTTTTTAAAATTTTATTACTTCTTGAATGATTTAAGACATGAAGGCGATTTGATTTCTTGAATAGATTCATCTTTTGTTCAAAGGGCAAATAGCTTGTGAGAGAGATGATGGTTAGTACAAGGACTTTTCTGAGGGGGAGGAATGGAAAGAGAGGTCTGGGTTTGAGAAAACATTCATACCGAGACGTGAGCATCTCAAATAGTACATATGTGTCACATGAGACTGACAGCTGTCAGCATTTTGCAATATTTGATTGATTATTTCGTTGATTGATTATCATTTTGAATTAATTATTTTGATTATTATTTAANAAATTGATTATTATTATTATTTTAAATTGATTAGTTGATAAGATATTGTTCGATTGATTATTCCTTTCAAATTTTTAAATTAAAAAAATTGATTGCGTATAATGTAACGACTGAATCGCAAGCATCTGTTGTATTGATTGAAGATTTTCAAATTTAGTGTGAAAACAGTGGTCGAAGAGATAACGAATAAGAAGATGCCAGAATATTGTCATTGTTTGGTGTTGGAGGTGATGGCAACGGATTCGGACGATGAGGATGTCGAAATCCCAGATGTCAGATATCGTTTCTGATGGGAGGAAGGAAGGAAGGTCGATTATCCGATTGCGTTTAAATTTTCGAAAAATTGATTGTTTCTAATTGAGTGTCGTTGAAAATAATGTTGGTTCACGTGTAAATAGTCTCATATTTTGCTGATCGCTTGCTTTCTGCTAACAATAAGTTTAGTATTCATTTAACTTTCATTTCTACCATATGTGATAGAATTTGTGAAGTATGTAATACACCAGGTCATTTAAACTATATTATATGTTAGGTTATAATTCATCACTGAGCTTGTCGTAAAAAANTTGAAGAGTAATGGAATGGTCACTATGAATACTTCAAAGCGTGATTGGTAAGGCAAGGGCATGAATTTGGTTAGATTGCATTGATGTACTGGGATTATTTAGTGATTATAAGGTTGCGAACTGATTATCTTATGGATCAATATTGTTGGATTGAGAGACATTTCGTTTTGTAAAATATTAATTGATCGTAAGGGAATGAAAACATATTTTGTCCAGTTCCACTCCTTGAAGAAGAACATGTTTAGTGGTATTCGCCTCGCATTGTGATAAATTTCTTCCTGATTACTTAATTATAATGATAATATTTTTTGATTTTTTCGTTGATATTGAATAATTTATTCTGCTTGGTCGATTATGTAAGTCCCAAGTGATTGACTGTTAGTTCGAATGTGATACAGTTGATTATTCATTCATAATTCCAACGTTTCCGTATATTTGAGTGCAGTTTTGATTATGTTTTATTGCTCTTTAGCAATGCTTTGCCGATTTATTTTCAATGGTTTCTCTTAAAATGGCTTTTGGTGTATTTTGGATTTATTGTTTATTGGTTCATCTCATGCATTGTTTCGTATGCTTCGTCATTATTGTTTATTATTTGTTGTACGTTGGCATCATGTTGTAAGTTGTGATTTTTCCTCTTGTTTTTCACGCATTATGTGGTTCAGTTCAGATTTGCGTGAGACAGACACGTTGGTNCCGTGGACGAAGCGAAAGATTGTTGAGTTCACAGTATTCATAGTTTAGTGAAATTGATCCTAATATGTTGTGCTACTGAACGGATTCTTTTCATAACTGAACTTAATGTACTGAAAGCATTGCTCCCGCAAATTGAACTGAATTGAACCTCACCTAAAATACCACTTAATTCCTCTAACAATGGTGAGTTGATCCTCTCTTATCGTATATCATCGAGTAAGTATCACACTGTTTAACCAGCAGGTCAATCTAATCTCTTTATCGTGATTAGTTCAATCTGTCTATCCTGATTATTTTCACAAATGCCAAAAATTTCTCCCTCTGTCAATCTGCTAAGAGTTTTCTATTGTTTTTCCGTTTCGCAAACTGCATTCGCTTTCTTTATGTGATAAAAAATAAAAATGTCTTCGTATGTATCATCGATGCAATAGTTTATTACGTTTGAAAGATATGCACGTGAATGAGTGATAGTTGATGATAACTTTAAAATATTAGAGGTGAAGAGCAATCGTCACTTTTTGAACGAACGAACTGATCATTCGATTGGAGTGTTTTAGAAAAAACAATGTGCATAGAGATGGAATGAGCGTGGAATGCGTGACAGTGATGATGGAGTGAGAAAATTTTGATTTGGATCACAATATTTTCTATTATCCCATGTATTTATCCAATAGTAACATCAGATCGGGCAGAATCCGCTTGACGATCGCCGACATCACAAACGATTCCGCGTTGATCAGTCTCTTTGATAAGGGTGGTCAACGCTTGCGCTGTTTCATGTTCATGTTTACGAATATCGTCTATTGACAAATCGTACCATTTGTCCATCCAACAGTACAACTCTCTATAAGAGAAGGCTATGTATCACAA